AGTCGCGCACCCGCAAGCCGCCAGCCTTCCCTCTCATCGCATCAGAAAAGTAAAGGTTAACTCATCTCATCGCTGTAGGTAAATCATTCGAAATTTGTCTTCCAAGCGAGATCTTGGCCAAGATTTCGGGGCGTGCGCGTGATTTAAGCTCATGTTGGTAGCCAAAATACAACCAACTCTTGTGTGTTGGAGGAAGTGCAAAGTGCCGTGATAAGATCTCCAAGTTGTGCCAAAAAAAAAAAACTTTAGAAAAATGAGCAGCAAGAAAGGCTTAATTGCTTGAAAAGCCCAAAACAGAGGGGACAGGTTATGATAGATCGCAGAACATGACTATAGAGAGGGGCGGAAGTTGAAATGCTTTCTGGCTAAGAAACAAACTTATTGATTTTTGATTCTATAGCCTAGCTGAGTACTAATGAAGCCACAGTAAATAGTAAATTCATAATCGTTTGATTGAGTTTAATTTGCCATCATCAGTGGCATCATCAATCACGCCATATGAGCCAAAGAAACTTTCCCAGAAAGCTTACTTCTCTTTTTAGGGGACAAAAAGTGGGGGATTCCCTTTGGCTAAAACAATAATATCAAATGCATATATTTACTTTAAGCAGATTTGGTCCCGTTTTAACAGTGGAAAAGTCATTAATTAAACTTTGTTGTTTTTTTAAACAATTTCTGGGAATTTTCTTAAGTAGCTGCTGGAACGAAAGCGATTTCATGAGCCAAATTGTAGGACAACCTTTCACTCTTCGAAGGTAGAAAAAAGTGCTAAAAGGTTAACATAATGATTGATATTCTAAATATTTTTTTATTAAGTAATTTACTATCTTCAATCTTAATAATTACTTATTTTCCTAACTGTTTTTGTGGCGTTTCTTGGCTTAAATATTATTTACTTTTCCGATTAAAATCCAAACAGCTGTTCGTTCTAAATCATGAGCTTGCCTGACTTTTATAAGAAACTTTCCTGAGCCCGCTTATCCGTGGGAATCTTAGAGGTGAGAAACTAAGCATTCGCATGCAAATTAGATTTTTTTTTAATTGGCGCATAAGCGGCGACATCTCCGTCTGACCCCCAGAATAACGCCCAACAGAAATATCTGGCCCGATCTGGGCTTTATTTTTCTCTTTCAGATCTCCTCTGATCTCCTGCCGTTGGCGTCACCTCAAGGTGCTGAGATGTCATTCGCTTTTATGGTTATTGCGGCGGCAGCTGTTGTTGCTGTTGCTGTTGCTAGTATGATGTTGCTGCTGCTGCATTGCTAGTTGCTGCTGCAAATGCAAATTGCGACTGGCATTGGTTGCTCTGCTTGGGATGTTGGCGTTTTTGCGTGCTTAATTGAAAATTGTGTTTCGGCGCTTCTAATGAATGGGAAAGTCAAAGACGACAAGGCAGTGACTGGATGCACAGGAAGAAATGTGTTAGAAAGAAGTTCTTTTGTAACTTTTTAAAATAATATTTAAGTATATTTAGCTAAAATTTAAGGTAGAGATGATAAATATGAGTGGTATTTATCCTTTTTCTTGAGGTTTTCAAGGCAGGTTTCATAGGCTTAGTAAGAATATCAAATTTACTTCCTTAAACCATTTAATGGCTTTTTTTCATAATAAACTTAAGATTTAAACTAAAAACTAACACTTTTACAAAATATTACCAGCATAACTAACAAATAAAGTTGCTAACAAGATCGTTAAATATTTTGATTTAAAAATTAAGTAGGTTAGGTAAACGTCTGCGAAATCTGTGAATAAATATTTATAACTTCATGGTTTTGATTCCATTCATTTCATTTATAAAAGTCCCTAAAAACCAAATCACAGTTTTCATTGAAAACTCATAATTTATGATAATATTTTCTTTTTTTTTGCAAACTTAACTGCCTTTTATTTAAAATTTGAATTAAATTTGTCAACTAAGCTTAAGACCCCCTGCTTTTCCCCCTGTGTGCCCACCCATCGCGTTGTTTTACTCATTAAGGCCGAAATAAAAAGCCAACCCAATGGGGTGTGGCAGTGGGCGGGGCAGGATATGCGAAAGAGCAAAAAGGAGCAGCAGGAGTCCAAGGAAAAGTTCCGCCTAGAGGGGTTGGATCGTTTCAAGTTCGCCTGGACTCTCCGACAGTCCCATGTTTCCTCTGCCGCAGGCCACAAAATCTCGACGTGATCTTGACTGGGCCGCCTTTATTGTGAGCGCGAAGACGTTCGAGGGAGATTTCCCGCCAAAAAGTTACGGGGGTTGCACAACGGGATCTGAGATTTCAGATCCCGGTCGCCAGCGGTGTTGGTGGTGGTGGTGGTGGCGGGTTGCGATCGGGGTGGTGGGTTGGTGGTGGTGGTGGCGGTGCTGTTGGGGTGGCACACAAGGACGACAATAAGGAGGCTGAAGTCTGAGAGGGCGACGACGACGATGATGTTGATGATGACTGGGCCAAACCGTGGGAAGATTTCCAGGACAAAAGGCAAAGGAATCTCGCTGCGAAATTCCCTTGCAGCTGCACTCAAATCGCATTGAAAACGAAAAACACATCCGAGGCGAGAACTTTTACCTTGATTGCCGTTTCGAGGGGTTTTTTTTTATTTATTTTATTACATTTTCGGGCGTAGGCATCTGCGACACTGAAATGTACTTAAAGTGATTATAATTTTTGTACAGTAGAAACGCACTTTATGGTCGACTTACTGATACCCGCTATGTGAAAGGTAATTAAATATGTTTTTGGATTAAACTTTGTTCTGTTTAAGGTTTCTAGGGAGAGAGAAAATGTACATAACGACTCCTGTTTATAGTTTTGATAAAACAAAGCTTTCTAAGCTTAAGCCTGATATTTTTATTGCTTTCCAAACTTAAAAACTGGATTAAAAATCAAATAATAAATGAGGTTATTTAAAAACAGTTAAAATTAACTGCTTATAATTATTCAATCTCAATTTAACGCTTGCTTATAGCCAGCTCAGTCACAACAATAACTTTATGATGCCCATTTGCTAATAGAGGCTAATCCTAAAAGTTAATATTTCTTCTACAAGCAGCTTGCATGAGCTTAGTAAAATAATAATACGCCCTGTTGGCCCCCAAAATACCGGGTGTATTAAAAAAATGTCGCCACCTCGACGGACGGCTTAATCAACAAATCAGCGGTGTCAATCTGCGTATCGTGTTGGCTGCTGATTACCAGCCTTTCCCCTCCATAAAACACCTTCCCTTTGCTAAAGGCATATATCTCAACGATCGCCGATCGCCGATCGAATGGCCTACACCATTTTGGTTTCGTATCTTTTGTCGCTGTCTCATTTTAATAACTCACAGATACATCTGCATATATGTGTATATATAGCATATGGATATATATATATAACTTATAGCCAAACACCTACGTTCGATGGCTTTTGGCTCTTTGTCGTGCTTCTCTTTTTTCTTCTTAAATACCCACGATTTTTGTACGAATCGCGTAAACGCGTTTATTTTCCCTGCCCACAATCACTCACACATACACAGGCAAGCATTTAGAGTTCCTGGTGTGGGTTGAGTATCTCTCTATGTGTGTGTGTGCGTGTGTGAGTGCGCCACTATTCGTTCATTCACAAATTGTGTTGTTGCTGCCTTGGCATGCTTTTGCTGCTGCCGTTTGTTTTTTTTGTTTTTTTCTCAATTCGGTTTTGTTTTGTAAACACACACATACACACGCACACACCTGGACTGAGGCGCACACACAGTTACACTTACGCTTCGGCAGCTGCGAAACACTTACACACACACACACACAATGTTAGCAAAGAGAGAAAAGGCGCTCTCTCTCTCGCGTTCGACTGCATCGGCATTTCAAGTTCAGTTATCGTATATGTGAAGTTGTTTTTTTGCCGGCATTTCTCACTGTGAGAGCTGTGAGAGAGTTTCAGAGGGAGAGAGTGCATGTGTGTGTTTGTGATGTAGGTGAGCGAGTTTATCCGAAGATTTTATCCGGACTTTTAATGCGGCTAAAAATCTGGCAGCTGAGATTTTCGTTTAATGCAATTGGGCTGAAAGGGAACTTAAGTTATTGGGAAGATTGGAAATAATAATATACATGTAATATGGTATATGAAAAATGCATTTGTATCTGTTAGATTCAATAATTAACAGTTTTAAGATACTTTTAGATCTGCTTATTTAAGGTCTTGACTTCAGTCCTTTAAGTAATTGATAAATATTATATCTAAAAATCAATTAAATAACGTTCATTGATTCTAAAAAAGAAATATTAAATAATAATTCAATATAAATTAAGGAAACTTAATGTTTTTAATATTTATAAAGGAAAATGTTTAAATTTTACTATTAATTTGGTATTGAATTGCTTTTAAAGCTTATAAAATCTATATATTACACATTATAACACCTTAAAAGTATAACTGTAAAGTAAGCCAATCATAAATTGTTAGTAAAATTGTTAAGAAACCTAACCAAAATTATTTAACACATATAAAATCCAAAGTTATACTCATAACCTAATTAGCTATAATGGCTAAAGGATACAATTTAACTTCCTATATATTAGTCAGAATAAAGCACCGCAAAGTGTCTTAAATAACGACCTTAGCATATCCCTTTGATATGCCTGACTGGCATTTTAAATTTATAAGAAAGCCCTCCTTTAAGTTCTACCTTTTATTTAAAGTTATTGCCAAAGTGACCTGAAAGCCAGCCAAGAATAAGGGCCAACTACGGGCTTTCCGCTTTTATTTACTTTGCCTTCCTGCAAATTTTCGCAGAAAATACACCCGCTTCCCGATTCGGATTCAGATTTGGATTTGGATTTTGAATCGGATTCATCGTTGGCTTATCTTCGCATTCGATGTGTTATATAACGCCAGTCGGTGGAAGTGGGAGGTGCCTATTCGGAGCTCAACTCGCAACTGGCGACCCAAAAGCGCCAAATGCAGCCGAGTGCCCCCATTGGCATAGAGTTTTGAGCAATTAGAAGCCCACGCAGCCATAAACAACAACTACACCAAGAGCGGAGAGTGGGAGGAGAAGCTCTTCGAGCAGCTCCCACCAGAGCAAAGAGGAAATACGGAAAAAAAAAAAATAATAACAAAAAAAACTAGAGAAATCTCCACTGCACGTGCTGCTCTTTCTCGCTCTCTCGCCGACTTTATCCGGCGAATGAGAGGCCAACAAATTCAGTGTGCCACACACATACCAAGATACAAACGCCCGACTGCCTTGGTGTGGGTGTCTCACGATGTCTGGCATTGGTATTGGTGTTGGTTTCGCCGCTGAACGAGTGACGATTCTACTCAGAAGTCAGTTTCTTGCTGGGCAGTGTCGGTTCAGGTTCATCGACGCTCCGCACGCGCTGCCGCGATTTCCTCAGTGCTAAAAACGCAAGAAGCGTCTTTTTCGGCTCAAAAATTACACAAAATAAAGAAAGAAAAAAAAAAAAAAGGAGGGAAAGAGGAAAACCCGAACGTAACGAAATCTTCGCAGTGCGTTTGCAGACTCCCCCTACCCCCCGCTCAGTACTCAACGGACTACTTCTACTCTCACTCCTTCTCGCTCGCTCTCGCCGAAGAGAGTTTCAGTGGTTGGTGGTTTTGGTGGTTTGGTGGTGCTGCTGCCGAAGCTCTGCCGACGCCGACGACGACGCCACGTCGGGAAAACCAACCTCTTGCAGTGGAAATCTTTTCGTACGTTTTCGTTATTTGTTATTCGCACGTTGACGCGACGAGACCGCGAAACACACACGACAGCAACGACTGCAGCAAAATGCAATTGCCCACAATGATCGCGCGTGCAACACTAAGTGGCAAGCCCTAAATACCATCTAATCCAAAACTAAACTTGCCAAAATTCAGTTTCTCAAAGCCAAGTGAAAAGTGTGTGTCTTACCATTAAGTAATATAAATCAATTAAAGCCAAGAAAAAAGAGAAAAGAAAAAAAAACACACAATAAGCCAAACACGCAAACCCAGCATAAAGCACAAATAATACATAAAAAAAAAGATAAAGTGTGATATTTTGATATTAGCAATTAGAGTTTACACAACGCAGCCTAAAAAATTATTGTTAAATCTGTGTGTTTGCCACCCAAAAGGCAAAAGCTGAAAATTGGATAATGCTTGGATAATTCCCCGCCTCCTACGATAACAACAAAAACCGAAACGCTAAAGGTGAGTTTGCTTGCGAGATCGCTCAATTTGCCGACGGCTTAGTCACTGCTACCAGGCTAGCCAAAAAATTATGGCATCTCAGCTGTTTTTTTTTTTTTTTGTTAAACCAAAAAATGTGTCAAAAGCTTAGCTCCAGTTACGAAAAGAGAGATCGTTTTACTATAACCAAAGCCTCAGCGTAATATCAGATCGGTAATTAATATATATTTATGGGAATATATATATATATATATATTTGTGACTTAGCAATCGATTGCAGCCATGAATGATGGACGGATGAGTTCATATCAGCACAGGCCCCCACCAGTGGCATCATCCCATCATCCATCTCCCGATTCCCTCTATCTATATTGACGTCAATCGCAGCAGCAACTTGACATCGCCGATCTGCAGATCGTGTGCCTGGCAAATTGACGCACACAAAAGCCAGAGAGAGAGACAGATAGGATAGGACCCTATAGCCTACAGTTCCAGATTTGCACTTCCAGTTTTAGTTAGTTTTGGCCTTTAAGAATTTTAATTGCCCATCTTGGCCAAAAGTGGATCGCAGTCTCGCTCCCTCTCTTCATATGTGAACTATGCCAATTGTCTACACCTGAGCTGAGGCAGAACTGGACAGCCGTCTGGCTGACAAATTTGTATGCACGCGCTTCAAAAGTGCAATATTAATTAATTCCAGCAACTGCCGAGACACGGCAGGCAGCAGGCAGCAGCATCAGCAACTGATCTGTATGCAGCAGAAGTTGCAACTAGCTAGTTGGTTACTGCTTGTTGTTCGTTGCAAGTTGCAAGTTGCTACTTAGTCGAGGCAATTAAATCGTATGTCATTCATTGGTAATTTATACCATTTAAAGGCATGTTCTCGGCCAGAGCTGGGCTTCCTCAAGGATACTTCTTGCTAGCTAGTTGGGGTTTTCCACTTGTTTTCCACTTTTCCCAAACTATTTAGCATAGATTTTCAAATAGTAAGTGAACTTTTGTTGCCTTGTTTTTTTTTTTTTTTCAAACTGTCATTTTGGAAAACGACAAACGCTTGATCGATGATCGGTCTAAAGCGATTCCGATTCCGATACGATCCGGACCGATCGGCGATAAATGCAACTTGCCATGAAAAGTGCTGCCTTAAATGGGCATTAGGCTATTGCACATTTCTCAATATGTCGAGTGATTTTTCCTCGGCTGCCTCCTCCAACGCGGCTGACTTATACGCACCGCGCCTTATATGACGAATGGCGGCGACGTCTGCCGCGTTTGTCCCACTGCATTTGGCATATAAAACAGCCTATAGCTGGTCGTCGGGTTACTGCCACTGGCACTGAAGGTGTCTCAGGTTGGAGGAGTCTCACCCGCACGACGCCATTTTCCAGACCCCAAGAGTCAAGAGGCAATTTGCATTTTCCACAGACAAAAGTCAGCTTGGCATGCGCTCCTGGAACCCTAGTAAAAAGAAAAAAAAAAATATATAAAAAAACGAAAACTCAAACCCAAAACCCCCCTTTCTTTGGTCGACTTAAGGTCCCTGGTTCATTGGTTAATTTATTTCTGGCACAGCCTTAAATTAACAATTTTAATGCAAACAACAAAAGAGCGCGCATTGAAATTGAGACGTTGAGCGAAATACAAAAAAACAATACAGAAAATACAAAAAACACAAAAAAAACATAAAATAAATTTACAGCAAAACAAAAGCGTGTAACAGAACAAAGGGGAGAGTGCTGGCTGGCTGGCTGTGTGGCTGGCTGACTTGGAGGAGCTGTGGCAGAGGAATGTGTAAAGTGAAATAAAATTCTGGCGCGTTAATTAACTTTAAACGATTGAAAACGAATTGATTTGGAGAAGCCATTTGATTTGGATTAGTCGTGCCAGGTTTAAGAAAAGAAAAAACAAAAACAAAAACAGAGGTTGCGGAGGTGGCCGACAAAAGGGTTAAAGCTTTTGGCCCAGCCGAGTTGCCAAGTCGGGCTTAAAATTAAAATTCAATCATCACGTGTCCGTTAAGAGAGACACATACACAATCAGACAGATCATCGGAGATGTTAATTGGAATGCGTTAAACAATAAAACAAAGACTGTCAAAGTCTGGCACTGTACACCGCAGCAGACTTAACACCTCTGCCTTTTTTCGGGAGATCTGCGGTTATGGCCAACATCTTCGACATCTGATAGGGCCAGCACAGAATCGACCCTGGACATGCGTCGTTATCATGCATTTGATAAACGTTTTGTTTTTCATTAGAGCCTGGCCGCGGAGGTGGAGATTTCAGTTCAAATCACACCCCTTTGATTAGCAGGGAGTTCGGTCTTAGGTTTCCCCAAAACTTTTGATGGCCATTCTCTGATGTATTATCTTGAAGTTATTTGGAGTTTAGATAGGTTAATACTGATTCCTAAAAACTCTATTTTAAGTTCTGAAATGAAGTTAAGCCCTTGCTCTTGATGTCTGGCCAATTCAGCCATTCAAACTTCAATTTCATAATTATTTCTTAGAGATTAGCTTTCAAGCTATGGAAGCGATAAAAACAAACAGGAAACGAATTTAATCTAACTTCCTACAGCTACATTTCACCGACATTCCCTGGATGTCACTTTTTATATTTTGTTTTAATTTTAAAAACAAACCTTTTTTGTTATCTTAAAATACAGCCAGACTAACCACAGTTTTATCGGTAGATTCTACTAGTCTGGGGTTTGCTTAAGATAGCCAAGTTCCCACAACATTTGGTTTAATATTATATATATATATACTATATACATATACTTTGGCATATCAGGCAACCACACGCAGTCGGTCCTCAATGAAGTGAATTATTTTTCGGTGGGGCCAACGCCGCAGCACGTACTTGAAAACAACTTTTAATCTCGAGTAGTTTCAATTAACGTCATTGGACTACATAGATCGCTGATTACGAATTGAATGAGCATTAAAAATATATATATATATATGCACGATTATATATAGGAGTATTGGGTATGCGTATTGAAAATAGAAACGAAAACAAAGTTAAAATCGTGAGCGGAGATTGCGCGATTGCGGCCACCCACCGCACATGGTCGTCTGTTATCGGCGGGAAAAGCTATATATATATATATATAGGCTATATATGCCATATACGCACATATAGCCAACCGATCCATTGGGCTATCTGTCCTTCGATTTACGTCACAGCTCGGAGTCGCAATTCATGAATTTCTCGCCTGGCACAGAGGAAAAAAAAAACAATTCTATTTACCGGACGCCCACTTTTGAGTGGGTGGTTGGTTGGGTTTTTGAGGTGGTGGCGGGAGGTGATAAGGAGGGGTGTTTGATAAGCACAACAACTGGTCAGTGGGTGGGCGGTGGATCGAGTTAGGAAATTTACGGGCATTGCATAAAGCCAACTGATAATTTCTGACTCAGCCAGCGAGCCAAGAAACTCGTGCAGATCTTTTGATTGTTTTAGCCACTTTTTTTGATTACAGCCAAACGTATCATAAAAGCGGAAAACCTGTTGCTCACCAGGCCAGTTTTCCCAACTGCAAAAATTTGCAACTTTAGCTTATATAGTGTCCAATATTTTAGCCAAGTTTATAAGCACAAATGTCTGTCGCATAAAACTTAATTGTAATGTTTGTTTACGAGCTCCACTTGCTGGGTTTTTTCAAAGACCGAAACTGAAACCGAAACCGAAACCGAAACCAGCCACCACCCCCGAAAAACTAATGGCAGCCATAAATCCAGCTAGTATCTCAAATATGAATTGCACTTTAATTTCTCGGATCTCGGATCTCGGATCTTGGATCTCGGCGAGTGCCTAATTTATGTAATACCCCCGCCTGCTGTTTGGCTGGAAGGAAAGTTCCTCCTCCGAAAAGTGTTTTAAGTAAGCGACGACGCCGAACAAAAACCGAATAATAATAATAAAGAAATATCTTCATGCCAACAAATCCATTACAGTCAAGTGCACGACAACAGCAACAGCAAATAAATAAAAATATACGAGACACACACTCATCGTGTGTGTGTGTGTCTGTGTGTGTGTGCGTGTCGAGTTTAAAAAATTAACCGAAATTTTATTAGTATTTGCGCAAGCGCAAGCCAAAGTCAACCTCAAATATTTGACGACCAGCGTTGACCAAAAGAGCCCGACTCTGCAGGGGAAGGGGTTAAGGGTATCGGGGAGTCATCATCATCATCATCATCATCATCTGCATTCTCCCAGCTACGAAGAAGACTCTCTTTTCGGGCGGGAAGAAATGGACCTGGTCCAGGAGAGACCAGCAAGCATGGCGAGGCAAAAGGCAATCAGAGTTGACACTTTTGGATTTTAGGTGATGTCGGGTTTATTTTTTAATGGGATTTTGGTTGGCTTTATACTGTGGGAATTTGGTAAACCTAAAAATATTTAAGATTTAAAATCACTAAAATATTTGCTATTATTTATGTGATGATCAAATCCCAAAGCTTAACCAGTTTCTTTTTGTTGTTTTTTTCCAACTCCCCCACAAGCTGAGAAAAAGATTTTAAGAACTGACATTTGGCATTAACATTTATATACAAAATTATTTATGATGCTCTCAGATCCAACAACAATAGAATAATCTTTGGCAACTTTTCAAATAATTTTAAGATTTATTTCTTTGTTTTTAATAACTTTAACAGTAAAGAAAAAAGATCCATAAAGTTAGATATATTTTTGTATATTTTAACACCTCCTTTTTTATTAATATTTTCCAAATCCCCATTAAAGGGTGTCACCAAGCCTCTCTCTCTTTGGTCTTAGCTGCTTCTCATGATCCCAGGAACTCCAAAGGGTCTAAAGAAGATGTCCGCTGGTCCAGCATCCAGCTCACCTCTACCGAAGTCAACTTCGTTCAGTTTTTGGCCGGGGCTTAGTGGCTCTGATGGCGTTGACGTGCCCAGGGGACAGTTTAATTTTCACTAGACATTGCCCACTTAAAAACCATTTTCACTTGAGACGTGACCGCTTGGCCAGATCTTCTTCTTCTGCTTCAGCTTCTTT